TTCTACCTTCCTTCTACATCATTTTCAAATTCCAACTACCCTTCATTTCCATCTCTATATATTATTCACACCATTCCATCTCCAGAAGTAGTCAGATGAAAATTTTTTGTGTTCACATTATATTAACCATCGTTTTATATATATCCATGTCAATTATTACTTATGAGTTACACAAAATAAAATGTACATAAATAATGGACTCCCTACCAGATAATTTGATGATACTACGCTTCCTCCATCCCTAAATATGGTAAATAATAATATGGGTTTATTTTAACTTTATCCATGCCCTAATACCTACACACACACACACACACACATATAATCACTCTCGTGTCATCGTGTGTGTTTGTTGTGTGGGGTGTGTTCTCTTTGTGAGCGTCGTGTGGTGCATATGCGCAAGTGTGTAATCCACATGTTGAATTAATTTTATTTATATATCCTCGTCCGGTCATCCATAATTAAATCATTATCCCTGTCGAAATTCGACATTACATATAATTCTTAGTTTATTTTGCATTTGTGAACTCTTAATTTTCCATTTTAATTTAAGAACTAAAAAATAAAGATTTGTTAATGAGATAATATGGTGCCATTGAAATTTCCTGTGTGGGATTGAATTCGCGCATGAAGACACGGGTGGCAATTTAATGGGAACGCTTTGCGGCATCTGAGAATTTCTCCCCAAATAAATGGCCATCAAGTCCTTATAAAGCATGACGTCACGGGATCCTACTCCTACTCTACATGGTAGGCGTACGGATACAGGGCACATCGACACGTAGGAATCCTCTTTCCTTCCCTTCTTTTAAATTAAAAAATGGCTACATTTACGGATAGGACACGCCCCAAGCGCCCATGGAGGGGGAATCCGCTTTTGGAGAAAAATATATACTATCTCCCATCATAATTATAAAATTTTATTTATAATTTATAAATAAAATCTTATAATTAGAATTAAAAGTAATTTTTATTATTTTTAATTTTTAATTTAAAAATTATGTAACTAATTAAAATAAATTAAAAATTTTACTAAATTAATTAATCATAATAACTAAATATTTTTTAAAATACATTTTTACTATCTTCAGTCTTTAATATAATGCAATGCTTATGTAAAGGGGCAAATCAGAGCTCCCGAGATCCCATATTGGAATCTCCAGGAATACTTATAAATATTTTGGACATATGATTATTTCACTCTGTTTTTTTTTTCCCCGGAAAAAAAGGGTAACTCAAAGGAATCCTGTTCTACCGAGAGGTCTCGGATCCAGCGTGAGAGTTTTTGACATCTTAGGCTTAATATTTTAGATTCGAATTCATATAAATGTAGAAAATATTTGTTTACAGAAATACATCAAATTGGACCTAATATTAGAGTTGTATTCAACCAGGCTGCACATATTAAAAAAAAAAGAAAAAGGAATCTTTTTATTGGTTAAAATAAAATTTTATTATTTTTTTTTGTGAACAATATAATTTTATTCATGACTATGAATCTCAAGCGTCATGATCATATCATGCAACTCGAAGATATTAATGAATATTAAGGAGTTATTCATCGAGGATAAGATAACATTAAGGATCCAAAAGTGAGGGCTTTTTGGTACAACATGATAACATACTTAATTAAAGCCGCCCAGATTGATGCCACATTACGTATTGAGTGGATGAATGGGAGCAATATGATAAAGTTTAAAAAAAAAAAAAAGGCAAAAGAAAGCATGAAGAGGGATACTTTATTAGGTAACATGATCATCAAATTATTTATTATTAATTGTCCATAAACAGGACTCTAATGATGAGGTGCAACAATACAAGTTGTAGTAAATTAAATGAAAATTTGCGTTAAAAAAAAAAAAGAAGATTAACTGAAAATGAGAGCCGATCAGGATCCAATGATAGAATGAAAGGAACATTCACTTTGGTTTCCCCCCCCCCTGCCAGTGGAAACATTAACTTTGTTACCAGAGCATATTTTCACTTCAAGTTATATAATACTACTTCCAAAAAAAAAATTTATGTTTTGATATATAAAACATGGGAGAATTGTAATAGCTAGAGTTTCAAGGAAAGAAAATAAGTACCAAAAAGTTTCAATAATAAGTGAAAAGTTATCATTTCATATTTTGAGACTTGTCATTATAAGCTGTTGAGTTGTTATTGAGATTTTATAGCAATTATATCCCTTAAGGATTTAATTATAATTCTCTCGTAAAATATTTACAAATTTGAAAGACAACTAATATTTTCCCCCAGTGCCCTAGGAGCATATTTAAACTATTTTTCTTTCCTTTATTAATATAACCCATTCCTCATGCATCAAATTAAAAAATTAAAATTTTAACTAGCTAGTTGTTTTCCGGCTAATTCATTAATTAATTAGCTCAAAGACTGCTACGTGATATTCATTTCCTCAAATAATAAGAATATACTATCTTCTATTCTTAATATAAGATTTAATTGATTAATTTGAAAAATTAAGAAAGTTAGTTAAGTTAGTTATCTGTAGTAAATAGATATTTTTTTTAAAAATACCCTTATTGATCTATGTGAGTTCTAATTACAAATTAATAGTAATTGCTTGACATATAATACTACTATAAGGATTACTTGAAGAAAAAATAGATAAATATTAAAGATAAAATAAACTGATATTTTATATTTAAGATCAAAATAAAAATTAAATTAATTATTATGTTAAGGACCGGAGGTAATACTATTTATCTCATTTTTTGGACCATATGAACGCTTCAAGGCAAATTAAAAGAGACGGAAATGAAGGGAAAAAAGAACGACAAAATCAGTGAAAAAATTTGTGAATTTTAATTTTGGTTTGCGCACACAAAAAGAAACTACCTTCCAAATTATGATGTTATATGTTGCCGCCATTTGTCGCCGTTTTCAGACAATCTTGGCCATTCGCAATCACCAAAGGCTGCTTCTTGCAGACTTGCAGTACCAATCCGCTGAATCATCCCAACTTAATATTTTAAAATCATTAAAACTGAAAATGCATTCTTTAAAGTTAATTCAGTAATTCCGGTCAAAAAAAAAAAGTTAATTCAGTAATATAAATAAAAAACAGTCAAGGAATTAAAATAAAATATGCTCTTTATATGTTATAAATAATATGAGCACGACTCCACTTTATATTTATAGAAACAGCCTGCGGAGGAACATCTCTCGTGACATTAAATCTGTTTTAAAAAGAATAAAAAATTGGGAAAAATCCTCCATTAAAACATATATTGTTGAGATTACTTAAATCATCAGATATTATTAGTCTATGAATGTATACAGAATTTGCAGAGTACTAATATTTTTTAGAACAAAAATTTATCAGATTATTCTTATTAATAAAATTTTCAACAGGGTATTTTTGTGTGTGAATATTTTCAAAATATAACTCGCTTCAGATTTTGTATAAATGAAGAAGCAGAAAAACAAAATTAGTGATAATAGGAAGGTGGGGGAGTGGCGTGGCCGGTGTGACGTGATTGTACCATAGTTGCACGGTAGGAAGCGGATGGCTGAGCCCTACATTTTTAAATTTATTTATGTCTCTAAAAAGCGTGCCTTTTTTGGTTTTTTTCTTTTATTATTCCTCGCTTTCCTTTCTTGCCGAACACGTCCCTGAAGTAAGAGATCTGATATGACCAATATGCCCCTCAGTGCGCTTCACTTTATTGATGAGTCCTTTACTTGAGTATCCAAACAAGTTAAATTAATCCCCCCACCCCACGCAACAACGCAACCTTGCCTTTTTGGTGTCGGGGCAATAATATTTTTTTAAGTCCGAAAATTAAATTAATGATAATTAGGTCTTCAAAAAAAATTTAAAGTATGAGTTACAAATGAATAGTATTTTAGAGAATTAGAAATAAAAATCTTCATTGAGAATTTCATTTAAAAATATTTTATTTACAACTATAACTCCTAAATTTGTAACTCTTTAAATTGATATGTTCGACTCAATTTTTATTTAAAATTTATTAAGGCCTACTTATTATTAGTTTATTTTCTTAGAACTTAATTGTTATTCCACCTTTGTCTCTCTGGCCTTTGAAATATAAGGGTCTTTTGCCTAACTCCCCCTCCGTGCTCCCCACCGGGTCCCATTTCCTTCTCATCCAAAATTATCCCAATTCACACCCAATTCTTATTTTTAGGAATTTCACAGAATATATTTCATATAATTCGTTCAGGGAGTCATAGAAGTTTCATATATTCACATGCATGACGATGTATAATCATCATTGATGCCAAATGCCTTTTTCTTCCACACTTGAAATGACATCAAAAAATAGTTTAAAAAAATAATAATTTTCTGAATTCGAAATGCTTTTTTTATATCCTTGATTTCAAAAATAACAAAAATATACAAAATCAGTAACTAATAATTAAAAAGATTCAATAGATTGTGCCCTTTGCATAACATAACCAAATCGATTCTTTCAAGTTCCACCTACCAACTTCAAATCTAGCAAAAATGGTTTTCGGGTTGAATATTGGAAATGTAATTGTACTAAATACTTGTTAGAAAAATTTTGTCATCCTTGTTTATCCAAAAAAAAAAATGTCATCCTTGTCTTATTTCTAATTGGACTCACATCAGTTGAAGTTCAATGTAGCATTTCATCCAAGTGTTTTGATTAAAAACATAAATCTTTGTCATCTAAAATTAACTGTGATTTTTCGTTGTTTATTAAGATTATGGAGAATACTTTTTATTTATTAAATTTAATTTATTTTCTTTCTGTACACTTTCCAATTGTGGAGAATACTTTTTATTTATTAAACTGAACTAAATATAATTGGAAATGCGTGTCCAAAATTTGGATATCATATACAAATACAGATATATTATTATAATTAAAATCCACCTGAAAAAATACAACCCAATTATTTATTAGAGATATTCAGTATGTCCTTGTACGAGCCAAGCCTGTACAATCCACTCTTTCTGGTCTCTCTATATATACCCCTTCCATCCCGGCGTCCGCTTCCCAACCCAATTCTTTCTTCTGTATCCTTCCTGGTCATTACACTAATTCTTAATTAATTCTCATTCTTCTGCCTTTCTCTCTCTCCCTCTCTCAGAAAATTAATGGCGGCAGCTTACAGAGAGCCCGTCGATCTCTCAGAGAAATCCCCTGTGTCGCCAGCGCAGCCACTCCACTCCCCGTGGCATTCTCCTGTGCCGTACTTGTTCGGCGGCTTAGCGGCCATGTTGGGTCTCATCGCTTTTGCCCTCTTAATCCTCGCCTGCTCTTACTGGAAGCTCTCCGGCTACCTTGAAGGCGACGGGGACGGCGAGCGAGACCTCGAAGCCGGCGACGCCAAACTCGACGACGAAACCCAGAAAGCTCCGGTTCCTTACGAGGAGAAATTCCTGGTGATTATGGCCGGACAGGAGATGCCGACATTCTTAGCCACTCCGATGTGGTCGAACCGGTCTGCTTCTTTCGGAGACAACAACACGACTTTTTGTTCCTGCGACAAGAACGCTAAATCTGAGCTGCCGACGGCGGAGACGACTGTGAAACCAGAGGGGATCAGCGGCCATCACGATCAGCCACAGAGCGAGAACAGGGGAATCCCAGAAACCTCACATGACGAAGACCATTGAATCTTCTTCCTATATTTCTGATTTTCTTCCTCTTTAAAGCTGCCTCGAAGAAGCTCGTGAGCCAGAGATATAAAGTTTTTCCCGACCTTTACTTTTGGTCAGTCTGGTGCGGATATGAACGAGCTTGCATGCCCAGTGATTGGGTGATGCAGAATCCGAGATAGATAAAATCATATAGATCCAAATCTCCTCCTCCTTAAATGTATAGTGATAACTAATGAATTCGGGGACTGTAAATTCACTTGAGGTGAAATGAAAATCTGGTTCTGCTCTTTTTCTTTTTCTTTTTTAAATCAATTGAGATGAGATTTGATGTTTTGGAGAGATAGGGAGGAATTAGCTAGAGGAGTTAAAGAAAAGCCAGAACTTTGACCTCTGTTTTTTGTGTATCTGTGGGCGATGGGATTAAGTATCGATATATACGTGGAGGGTGCGTGTAAATCTGGAATTGATGCGGCGAGAGGAAATTGTTGAAGCACGGTTTCTTTTCTTTTCTTTTTTGCCCTTTCTTTTTAATTTCTACTTTAATCTTCAATGTTCTGGGTTTCTCGACCACTGTGCACATGAAGACAAGACAAGCTCTGGTAAATGAAGAAAGCAGTTTTGAAATCTGTAGTTCTCATCAGTTTTAGTAAGAATGCTGAGTGGGAAACAGATTGATATACAGCTTGTTCTCAATGATTTAACATCTTGATAATTGGATTGGAGGAGGTAGAATTGAATACGAACCCCTAGATAATGCTAGAACTTGGAAAGAAGCTTGTTTATTGAATGAAATTGATGAGATAGGTGAACATGACTGGTTAACCATAATAATAATAATAATAATAATGGTGGATCATACTCACAGCTTTGTGAAGCATTTTTAGAGAATAGGAGCTTTAAACTTTAATGCATGTCGCAGGGGTGTCCCCAGAATGATGAAAAAACGACAATTCATATGCTGCGCTTTGAGAGTATGATGGTGCGAATAGTGAACCACACGCTGGGAAAGTAGGAAGCTCCCTTGCCCCTCACCTTAATGCTCTCTAATTTGCAAGTATTTTCACAAATAGAAAAAAGGAAAATAATATTTATGATATAATTCTGAGTGAGGGTTTTGTAAAATTGAATTAAAAATTTGCGGGAATAGTAGGGATTTTCGTTACTTGAGAAAGTTACTTGAGGTTTACAATCTCACACTCTTTTAGTTTTATTTATAAATCATTTTAATATATTCTACTCAAATAACAAAAAAAACTTTAAATCTCATTGTCATTAACCCTTCTCTTAAAATTTAACAAATTTTCAATTTTTTATATTTAATATGAATTTTCTTCCTGTGTTTGTCAAAAACTAGTAAAAAATAAAGACATACAACTGTTTATTTTGGAAGATAATTTTTAAAATTTTATAAGAATGTGTTTGTAAATTCACTGTGTAATACAAAATGAGTTTTACATTGAAGACTAGAGAAGGTATATAACATAAAAATTTACAGAATATGTGATATTTATGAGCTACAAATAAGTAATATAATTTACACATCACAATTTTTTATACTATCTTCGGTCCTAATTATATAACTTTATTTGTACACTGTAATTGAGGTTTTATAATTATGATTGAAAGTAATACTAGTTTTAGGTGATTTTTCAATCAAACTCTAGATAATCGTTACTCCTAACCACTGCAGTAAACACACACGTACATGTAATTACTAATTATTACGAGATGATACAAATTTAAGTGGAATTAGTTCAAAAATATACAGGAAGTCATTTTGCAGTTTTAAGCTTGATTCTATCTATGGTCATGTACCTTTCCCATTCTTCAATACTCTAAAATAAGACAACTTGACACGGACGTTTTGTTTTCATGATGAATAATTAACATTGGTATAAAATAAAAACAATATTATGTCATTATTTACAAATGACGAATAAAAACACTTGATAAAAACATATCACATCGACACTCAGATAAAAATATACGTTCAAAGTAAAAGACGAGCGGATAAGAAAATAGATTTAACTGATAAATTCAGGCCATTAAATCGAAAAATTAATAAAGGATAGAATTTAATTAAAAGTGGTAGTTACGTTGTAGGGCCAAAAGAATAAAAATGGAAGAGAGGGATAGTAGAATTTCAGGTAATTTAAGCACGTAGTTTCTGATTATATTCTTTTCTTCGTGAGATGATTGGCGTAATTCATAATAATAATTCTCTGCCTTGCAAGCCTCAGTTATTCCAACCAAGATGCCTTAATCTTCTTTATTCATCTATACTTTCTTTCACACTACATTTAATTTTCTCTAAGCACTTTCCTTCAGAATCTTTCTTGGAATATAATCCCATATATAGATGTAATACATCTGAGAAAGTGAACAGAAAGAGTAAGTGCAGGGGTGGGGTATAATTCTTCAGAATCTTTCCTTCACTTCAAATGGGATAGATGAACGTAAAAAATGTAAGAGGTCAATTACATTAAATTATTTACCTGATATTTGTCTTCAAAGCTATATTATACTGTTAGTGTCCAAGTGAATGATTCACAATATAAAGCATGCCAAAAGATTACATTGTTTATGTATTCCTCCGGTTTTAAATATAACACTTCTTTTATAGTGTAATTTATACTACAAAAAGGATCTTATATTTAGGATTGGAAGAGTACTATAAATTAAATACTCCTCCAGTCCTTAATATAAGACCCATTTAACTAATTTGATTAGATTAAGGAAGTTAGGTAAGTTAGTTGATTATGAGCAAAGTGACACATTTTTTCTAAAACACCATAATTATCTTTCTTAATACCTCTCTCCCTCTTCTACTTGGTTATGGTTGAGGAAGTATCTATAGGGGTAATTTAGAGAAAATTGATAAATATGAGAAATGGATCTTATATTTAGGACCAAAACTAACTCAAGAATTAAGTTCTATATTAAGGACCGGAGGAGTAGTACAGTTTATTTATTATTATACGCATGTAATTGAAAGAATATATGAACAATATAGGTTTTCAAAAATTTTAATGTATAATTATATGAAAACATGTCACTCATGAAGTTCTTAATATAAGACCTAATTATTAAGTTAGTTTTAGTCCTAAATATAAAACTCATTTATTATATTTATTAAATTTTTTTGAATTATTCATATTAATACTCTATCAACTATAATCAAGTAGTTAGAAAAAAAAAATCATATTTCTTTTTTAATTAATTAACTTACCTAACTTTCTTAATTTAATCAAATTAGTTAAATTAAATATGTCTTATATTAATCACTATAAGAACATTAATTATGAGCAAGTACATTGGCAAAATAAATTATAAGTACATGAGGGAGAAATGTTTGGAGAAGTGTCAACTTCAGATTGACTGTGAGAAAAAGGGGCCTGAAAAAACACGAAACTGCTCTCTCAAATCTACAGAGAATAATAATGTGCAATTAATAATTGGATAAAGTTATCCAGATTAGAAAAAGTCCAGCTGCCACATCCTGTTTGTATCTTCTTCCTCCCCTCAACGCAAGGTCATTATTTTCCCTTTTCTTCCTTTTAAATAATATTTTATCGCAGAAAATTTCCACCCTACATACATTCTTTCTCACACGCAAAAATATATTTGCCGTTAGAGATATTAATCAATTTTTGGGCGCTTTCAATATGGCATTCCCAAGAAGAATCTGAACCAACAGCCCGCAATGGATAATTATATAATATAAATCAATTTAGACATTGCACGGATACATTTTTATTATATGATATTAATATACTACTTCTGGTTTGAACTATAAATTAGACCTTATATTAAAAACCAAAAATAATAATATAAGAAACTCCCAAGTATTGGTTTTAATTGAGATTTGAGCCGAGTAATTAAGATAAAGAGGACCTTAGTAATTTAGTTGGGAAATAATAAGCAAAATAAAACTGATTTTCTTTTTGTGCAAAATCAAAAAAAGTGAGTTTAAATTGTGAAAAAAAAAAAACAAAAGTGAGCTCAACTTAGAACTCGTTATATCAATTTATACGCGTTATAATATTCTGTATTAATAAATAATCCAGCTAACACCGATGAAGGAAAAAGAAAATTTTGGGGAAAAGACTGCCCTATATATATCCCAAATATATATATATATATATATATAAGACAAAAAAGATCATAATTCCTACAAATTAAAAAGATTCCCCCTGTTTCTTGTTGTATTAATATTTAATAAGTTAAAATTAAATATTCAACCACTTAGGTCACATCGCTTATGCCCAGAAAAGCTACATATTTTTCTTTGAATAGGGTCTGCTACAGTGCTTGACCTTTTATCTTTTGCAAGTAAAAGTATGTGACGTTCTAACTATTGATGGTCCAAATATGCAATAATAGCACTTGCGAAAATATATTACCATAGAAGCACTCACCTGGAACAGTCCAAATGGCAAGTCCAATTTTACGTATTGTCATAACTTTTTCCGTCATTTTCCCCTTAATTTTCAAATGAAATTAATCCAAAAAGTATTCCTATTCTACGCTAACTAATTACGTCGCGGTGGTAATTAGGATTTTCTGTCCAAACTTTGACCAGGTTAGGAGGAAGTCTGGAAACTCTTAAAAACACTTAAAAAAATATTTTCACATGACCGAAATAAAATTTATTTCACATACTTAGTCCAAATATTATAAAATTATTTTGAAAAAACTAATCCAAATATTCTCTAAATAATTGAAGGTGAGCTTGGAAATCGAGGTTATTCTGCAATAGGACAACTAATTGTTGAGGAATATTTTTGCGGACGCAAATGATAATTGCTGTCAACGAGAGAAATTAAGGTAGGTCCAACACTATTAGTACTCCTCCGGTCCTAAATATAAGACCTTTATACTAGTGTGTATAAGGGTCTTACATTTAGGACCGGAGGAGTATTAATCATCACTCGTTAATTTAAACCCTTCCGTCTAATCATGTCTTTCTTTTTTCTTTTTGTCCAGTCAAGGAACCATTTGGTCCGGTTAATAGATTAACCATAATTTAAGTGACTAATTCACTCATTGCTAAATCAGAAAATTGGGAAAAATATTCCCATTGAAAATCTCATTAGTGAAAATGACCTAAGTCAGCATATTGATAAAAATATGAGTAAATATATTTAAAATTTAGTTCATGAACTTTGAGAGAGTTTTTTCAGTTTAGTATTAACTATTAACAAATGTCCTCGTACGTGGAAGAACGACAATTTTTCATAAGACTGGGCCTGAACTAACAAGTGAAAGCCCAATAACAAAGCAATGTAAGGGATGT